TGAAGGGCCCACACTGATGAGGTGTACCAGGAGAACATCTACCAGGACGAGCGACCGTTTATTAGCTCCAAGAAGGTGCGTTGTTAATACTAGTTACGATAAAGGTGAAGGTAAGGGGGAAGGGCCCACACGGATGAGGTGTACCAGGAGAACATCTACCAGCGACCGTTCATCAGCTCCAAGAAGGTGTGTTAGTGGGGGGGTTAGGGCGGAGACGGATGAAGTGTCATGCACTCTGGTATGTGGTGAAGGGCCCACACGGATGAGGTGTACCAGGAGAACATCTACCAGGACGAGCGACCATTCATCAGCTCCAAGAAGGTGAGGAGGACGGGAGGGAGGGGGTGCCCTGTCTTCAGTCGTCTGGAAACATGAAGTGATGACAAAGGAGGTCTCATTCTTATGGCGGATGAGGTGTACCAGGAGAACATCTACCAGGACGAGCGGCCGTTCATCAGCTCCAAGAAGGTACGTGTGAGGGGGAGTGTGGGGGGAGGACAGGTGAGCTGTGTCAGTAAAAGGGCTTTGTCTGGGTATGCAGTGAGGAGAAAGGGGTGCGGTGCTATAAATGGTCCCAAGACATGAAGTGTACCGGGAGAATATCTTCCAGGGCAAGTGGCCTTTCATCAGCTCCAAGAAGGTGTGTGGTCACTACTGGTTACCATAAGGGTGAAGTGAAGTGAAGGTAGGGGGAAGGGCCCACACGCATGAGGTGTACCAGGAGAACTTCTACCTGGACAAGCGGCTTTTCATCAGCTCCAAGAAGGCGAGGTAGGTATGCTGTGTGGTGATGCGACCCTGCTTGATTCGCCCGTCTTCTCCCGTTCTCCCCCCACCAGGTCCTCATGGATATGGGTCCATCGGTTTCATCCTCCCTCGAGCTCGTCTCGTTCCACACCGTCTCCAAGGGGCCTTCGGGGAGTGCTGTGCTCTAACTGCCCCTGCTCGCTCCGTCTTCTATCCCCTTCCCTTCGCCCCTTACTCACATCCCCATGCTCCCCACCAGGTTTTCATGGACATGGGTCCATCAGTCTCATCTTCCCTCGAGCTCGTCTCCTTTCACACCGTCTCCAAGGGGCCTTTTGGGGAGTGCGGGCAGAGGGGAGGGTACATGGAGCTGACCAACATTCATCCCGCTGTGGTGGAGGAGCTTTACAAGATGTCCTCCATCAGCCTCAGCCCGAATGTGAACGGACAGTTGATGGTGAGTGAGTGGAGAAGGGCGGAGGAGGGCCTTTAGCAGGGGAGAGGGCAGCGTGGGGGCTACATGGAGCTGACCAACATTCATCCCGCTGTGGTGGAGGAGCTTTACAAGATGTCCTCCATCAGCCTGAGTCCCAACGTGAACGGGCAACTCATGGTGAGTGCTTGACAGCCTTGCCTTGTTGAGTCCATGGGCAGTGCGAGGGGAACATCCACCCGGCTGTGCGGGTACATGGAATGGAGCTGACCAACATTCACCCGGCTTTGGTGGAGGAGCTCTATAAGATGTCCTCGATTAGCCTCAGCCCGAACGTCAACGGGCAGTTGATGGTGAGTGGATGGGCAGCATTGGCCCGGCACAGCAACCACAGCTAGAGGGCAGAGGGGCGGGTACATGGAGCTGACCAACATTCATCCTGCAGTAGTGGAGGAGCTCTATAAAATGTCCTCCATCAGCCTCAGCCCCAACGTTAATGGGCAACTCATGGTGAGACTCCCTGCCTTCCTTACCAAACAGCAGCACAGCACCCACTGGCAGGGGATGTGAGAGAGAGGGGCGGGTACATGGAGCTGACCAACATCCATCCGGCAGTGGTGGAGGAGCTTTATAAGATGTCTTCCATCAGCCTCAGCCCCAACGTGAACGGGCAACTCATGGTGAATGGGTGGGGAAGGGTGGAGGAGGGCTTTTAGCGGGGGGGGTAGAGGTAATAGTGTCAGAGGGGTGGGTACATGGAACTGAGGAGCTCGATAAGATGTCCTTGATCAGCCTCAGACCCAGCATCAACGGACAACTCGTGATGAGACCTTCCAAAGGATTCAGCTTGCCTGTCCTCCCACGCGGCACGTCTTTCCCTCTCACGTCTTTCCCTCCCACGTCTTTCCCTCTCACGTCTTTCCCTCCCACGTCTTTCCCTCCCATGTCTTTTTCCTGCTCTGCGCGCTTTTTTCCCTGGCAGGTGGGGTTGATGGTCAACCCGCCTCAGCACGGCGACCCTTCATACCCTCGCTATGCAGCAGAGAGGTGAGTGTGAGTCAGCAAGTGACACGTGGCACATGACTGTCACTCAAAAGAGCCTGTGGCACATCTCATTGCACTCTCGGGACATGGTGCACGGCAACACTCTGAAGTGACGTGGCAAATAACACTCAGAAGACACATGGCACGTGAACGCTCGTGGCGCTCGTGGCGCTCAAAACACACGTGGCACCACCAGCTGCCACCACGTATCACCTTTCTCTTGGTGGCAACAGCACTGTTACGTAAGGCTCACGCTACAACAGACAGCTTCAACCCCTGCCACTCACACATCTCTCACTTTTTCCACTCTGCCCCCCCCCTTCCCTTCTCTCCAATCACAGGAAGGCCATCCTGGATTTGCTCAGGAGAAGGGCGCACGCCATGACAGATGGCTCGCACCCCTTCCACTCACGTCTCTCCCATCACCTCTCCACCACTCTCAACTCCGTCCCCTTAACAAGAAGGCCATCCTGGACTCGCTCAGGAGGAGGGCGCATGCCATGAAAGATGGCTTCAACGCCTGCCAACCCTCCTCCACCGCTCTCCACCTCTCCATCTTGTTCCTTGCTTTCCAATCACAGGAAAGCCATCCTGGATTCGCTCAGGAGGAGGGCGCATGCCATGACAGATTGCTTTGATGCCTGCAAACCCCTCCCCACCGCTCTCCACCCCTCCATCTTCTTCCATTCTAATCACCAGGAATGCCATCCCGGTCCCGCTCGGGAGGAGGGCGCATGCCATGACGGATGGCTCGCACCCCTTCCACTCACATCACTCCCAACCCCTCTCCACCACTCTCAACTCCGTCCCCTTATCAGGAAGGCCATCCTGGATTCGCTCAGGAGGAGGGCGCATGCCATGACTGATGGATTCAACGCCTGCCAGGGCGTTGAGTGCAACTTCACAGAAGGTGCGAACTTGCTTATTGTTCAGTGCCTGCCAGGGCGTAGAGTGTAACTTCACAGAAGGTGCGGATTCAACTCAAAGGTAAAAACCGCTTGATTTAGAGCCCCGATAGCTTAACTAGTTTCGAAAACTCTCAGAACACAAATCATCTGATGTTAGTGGAACCTTGTCCATGCATCCTGTTTGTTTGAATTCAAGGATCTTTCAACCCTTCTATCCTCCCTTCTCCACCTCGCCCATACCCATCCCCTTCCCTCCGCCATTCCCCCTCCCCCCCCCCTCGCCCTCCCACAGGTGCCATGTACTCTTTCCCCCGCATTCACCTCCCCCCGGCCGCCATCTCTGCAGCCAAGGCAGAAGGGAAGGCGCCAGCCGTGTTTTACTTGGTTGATATAAAAGTCACCTTTCCGCATCGTCTCCCCGCGTCCCCCTTTCCCTTCCAGGTGCCATGTACTCTTTCCCCCGCATTCACCTCCCCCCGGCCGCCATTGCTGCTGCCAAGGCGGAAGGGAAGGCCCCGGACGTGTTTTACTGCCTGAAGCTGGTAGAGGCAACTGGAATTTCAACCGTGCCCGGCTCAGGGTTCGGGCAGAAGGACGGGTGAGTGGGGGCGACAGTGCCAGTGTTCTTGGGCTCAGTGGGTGAGAGAAAGGGAGAGAGTGGGGAACAAAATGCCAAGGAGGAAGGGAAAGCCCCGGGCATGTTTTACTGCCTGAAGCTGGTAGAGGCTACGGGGATTTCAACTGTGCCTGGTTCAGGCTTCGGACAGAAGGATGGGTGAGTTGAGAGGGATGCGGCGAGGGAGAGTGAGAGCGTCGGGGGAATGGGCTAAGGCGGAAGGGAAGGCCCCGGGCATGTTTTACTGTCTGCAGCTCGTAGAGGCGACTGGGATCTCTACTGTCCCGGGACCAGGCTTCGGGCAGAAGGAAAGGTGAGTTGATGAAAAGATTGAGCGCAAGGGTGCAAGGAGAGGGAATGTGGGTTGAGGTTTGCGATTTGCTGCTCATGCTAATGCCACGTCTTGAGTGTAATGTAGAAATGCCACCTCAGCTTCTCCACCCCCTATGCTTCCCCTCGTTATTGTCACGCTGCAGCACCTTCCATCTGCGCACGACAATTCTGCCGCCGGAGGCCAAGATGCCTCAGATCATGCGCAACTTCCAGAAATTTCATTCCGATTTTATGACGAAATATGGTGGCAAGGCCAAGCTCTAGATGCACGTTCCCAGGCTCAAATCAAGTGACCAATGGGTCCCTTGCATCCCTGTGCTTTCAGATTTGTTTCCATATACACACAAGATGATGCTTTACCTGTCTTCATTTCAGCTTCATATTTATTTCAGCCTTCGGAATCAACTGCCTAGGATTGCCTACGTAGGGATCTTGCCTTGCCTGCAGAGGGTAGAACCACCTGCTCACAACACCCGTAAACCCGAATCTTGACATTTTCCTTGCAAAACCCCTGGCAACACATGAGACTGACAGCTAACTAGGTCGCCAGTATGAGCGCACGAGAAGGGATGAAATATGATAAATAAATACCAGCAAGTGGGGTAATAGACAGGCGAAGTTCGAGCAATAAAGCCACACTTCACTAAAACCCGTCTTCCAGACGGAGTGAACACTACACTAAGCATGGGTCCTTTGAGCTGAAGGTCCACGAGGTAGTGTTCATACCAGCCCACAGGCCCTGCAAGCACACAAGCACACCCTACACACTGAAAGGAATTGAAGCCTCCTGGTCCTAACCCTTCAGGTCCTGAAAAGGGACCCTCTACTAAGCCTAAATCCGCGGCGAACGAATTGGTATGTACCGCGCTGGACGTGGCCCGCCAAGCCATGTCTCGTTTGCAGCTTATTTGAAGATTTTTCATCTATGCGTGTCGGTGCGAGTTGGGCCTGCCATGATGTCATCCCAAATCTCGTCCCATTCATCTCGTTGCGATGGTCTCCTCCTTTCGGGACTCGCGGCAAATCTGTTAGTCGTTCGCGGAGGGGATCGAGGCCTGTCAGGTATGGTGTCGAGCTGCGACAGCGCCGTCTGCAAGAGAGAGAGAGAAAAAAAAGTAAATCAGAAAATCTGTAAGCGAATAGAATACTCGGAGGTCGGGATGACGTTTAATGATAACGTGATCAGATTACGGACTGGAGAACGAGCGTACCTGATAAGCGTTGTGAATTTCCATGAATTTTGACGAGGCTCCAGATGAACGATTTTGGTCAGGATGGAACTGCAGACAGAGAGCAAAAGCAGCACCATCAGAATAAGCGGGCACGCTTCAAACAGGAAGTGCTGTGACATATACAAAAAAGCAGTGCTATCACATACGGGAAATTCTTAAAAGAAGAAGGATGTACTTACTGTTCGTGCGAGCCGTCTGTATGCCTGTCGAACTTCGTCCTTCTCAGCCCTCTGAGAGACGCCTAAAATCTGGAAGCAATCAGTTGCGATACGTCGCTCTGGTCGTCCCCTGGAATAGGAAGCTTGTGCTTTCACTGGCGAACGGTACCGTTGAGGCGACGGCTGAGGAGCTCTGAGTGGGCTAGGCTGCACCCTGCTTTGGTTTGGCTTGGGTTTCCCTCCCCATTCAATCGAGTTCTGCCTACGAAGAGGAGGCGGCGGCGACGGAAAGCGAACGACGCTTGCCATCAGGAGGAAGTAGCCGAGGCCAAGACGAACACTAGGTTTTTATGAGTGAAGCAGAGTCACACGAGAAAACTAGGTTTTAATGATTGAACAGGAACTGAATGATCGAAACTGGTCGAAACAAACTCAGGAAAGAAGCCAGTGAGCTGTGGTGGGTTTCTAAGAGACTGATGAGAAGTGCATGTGGGTGCTGAGTTAGTAGATATAAAGCAGGGCTGTTCTGAATCTGATGGTGGTTTTGGAAAAAAAAGTGGTTGGTGAAAGAGCTGACAAACTCTGGTCAGCTTTTGCTGTGCTGGAGATTGAAGTGGGAGGGATGATGATGATGTTATAACCTGGCTGGATTTGGAGTTCCCAGGGGGATTCAAAAAGGGCGCTACTTTACAGCCTTCCCGCCAAGAGTTTGTGCAGTTCAAGACGTTGCGCACCTGCCCGGCGGATATCACGGCAGACTTTTGGGATGATTAGGGAGCAAAAACGCATTTTTCCCCAAGGGAACCTCGATATGACAGGGTGACTTTGCGCGCTTGTCTGATGGTCCATGGGGTGCACAAGCCGTTACAACGCGCGAAATGTGTCTGCTGCTCTGCTGGGCAGCCAGGGAAAACATTCCGATTGCGAAATGTTTCAAAATTTCCCGCTCTTTGGCTGTCGACCCTGAGTTGGCTCCAGGCACTGGTAGATCGGTCGATTCCACCAATCCACCTGTGCTCTCCCACGGCAAATCAGATCCCTGACAAGGCCGATTCGAGAAGAGATATTGGTGACACAACTCTGTAACGCATATACTATGGATCAAATACACAAATTGTAGATGGATCATAAGAATCGAGAAGAATTCACAAATACATTAAGCGTGATTTAATCAACTAAAAATATCTCAGAGATATGACTAGATCGCATTAAAGAAGAACATGAGAATGTTTTGAGTGGCCTTATGATCCAACAAATTTATATCATAAATTTTCTGTTATTGCGATGTAATGCATTCAGGGTGATACTGATGCACTCTCGAACGAAGATGTATTTGAGACTGGGGCCGCACTCACCCGCACATGCCAGATCTCCAAGGTGTGCTGGATACAGTTTGTGGCTGGCAATCTGAGAGGATCCATCCATACCGCTGGAGACGCTGCCGGCAGCTGAAGCTTGCCAGAGGCGACGTTTATTTTCCTTTCTTGCACTGCGGGCAGCGGGAATGACCACCAGAGAGTTGTTCACTGCACACTCTAGGCACCTGATTGCGGTGGATGATTCACTTGCATCCCTGCTTGTTGAAGAGACAAACCCTTGAGCTGGCGCGACAAGATCAACGACTCGAATCCCAAGAGACGAGAATACCCCGCTAGCCGGCAAACAATTGGGATTTCATGGAACGTTCAGCCAATCGTGAGCAAACAACGCCACCCCTTATCCTCCAACCTGACAGCATTCCGTTAAGTTGGTTGGTGGTGAGGCGGTGACCAGCAGGCAACTTTCGAAGCAAGGCAAAACCCAGGCAGAATCAGTCAAGGGATCATCTCTCTGCTTTCGTGATTCGTCGTGGGCGTCTACATCCAGCCCTCCCGCAAGGATTCCCAACGAGCGCCAGCGCAGTGCTGCCCGTTCAAGAGCACAATCCTGCCCGAAACGCTGTACCTTTCCACGAGGTCCCCTGCTCAGCCCCACAAAGCGAATCTCCAATTTTTACGTGTCTCAGACGGAATGCTGGGATCTGGAAAATCTATGGCTGGAAAAAAATCTGTGGGTGGGTTCATCTGCTTCCATTCCACCACCAAACTCGCCTCTTGCCCTCCTTTCTTGAAGCTTCGCCTTGACTTTATGAAAGCCATATTTCTGCGGCGAGTTGAGCAGGCACTCTGTCTCGTGGTTTTACGTGGAGGACTCTTGTTGAGGCATTTAGTTGCCAACCTAGTAGTTTATCTTTTTTGGCTGGCTGTTTGTGTTTCAAGCATGACGGCTCGGAATGATGACGGTGACGGACTATCCCTCGGGCTATCCACGAGGAATGACGCGTGGCGAAACTGTGTCGATTGGGAGGCCACGTTGCTGACTAAGGAGGAGCTAGTTCCTCTTAACCAACGCCTAATTACTCCTATGCTCGCCGCGGCGTTCAGTATTAAGGAGTCAATGTACAACGTTACGGAACAAGACGTCGAACGTGCTGCTCAGGTCAACATTCCGTAATCTTAAAGAGTTTTGAGTCGACTTAGAGACTTTTCCCGCCTAACCTCGGCGCTTTGCTCTGCCGTTATTCTTCGCTCGAAGTTTTTTTATTCTTGCGAGAATGCCGTTTATAGATTTATGAAAAACGGTTTCTGTAGTTCAGAAATTTATCGTTTATCTAGACTAGGTATTATGTATCTCGATTTGTCAAATATTCAGACTAGGTATTAGTGCTTCTCGTTGTCCTCGCTCGCCTTCTGTTCCGTTGACACTTTCATTTTTTTTTTTCTGTTTCATTAATTGCTTGTCGTTCTTTATCCTTTGTTCTATTCTTTGTATTCAGGCCACGTTAAACAACATATTGCAACACCCGAGATTAACGACACGACCGGAAATCGTTCCTCCCAGCTTGAATCACCCTCAGTTTCAGTCTCTTCACACGGGAGCCTCCCGCGCCGCCGCTCCGTCCAATCACCCTCCTCCTGCAGACGCGTCTCCTTTCTCCAACGTTCCTTCGCGACCGTCGCACGACCAGGAGCTTCCCGAACGCGGGCGGGATGAGCGGAGCCGGCGGGATTTTGACCCTGCCGACCGTTTCGTTGACGATGACCGCGCGGCACAGGGCGACCGCGCACCTGCGCACGAGCGCGCTCGTGCAGAACAGGAGAGGATGGAGCAGCAACGCGAGCACTTGCATGAGAGGCAGCAGCAACGGGATCAGGGTTACCAGAGACAAGAGTTTGAAAGAGAGCGGCAGCAGCAGGAGAGGCAGCAGCGGCAGAAGCAGCCGCAACGTGACCCGCAGGAGCAACGCGAACAGTTTCCAGCTGGAGCGGAAGCGGTGCGGGGGGAGGGGGAAAAGCGGGCAGCCGCTGCGCTGTTCCCCGGCTATCAGGGGGCTCCCCGCGACGGGGAGCCTAGGCGCGCGGATTTTGATGGGCGGAGGTTCTATAACGAAGCTGATCGCAAGCTTTCTAACGAGGATGGGCAGGGTAGGTCTCAAGCGCGGTTGCCATACCACGACGGCCGGCTCGGCAATACCAATGCTAGTCCGCATCAGTCCATTCCCAATGATCCCGACCGTTCGAACGTCCGATTTGGCCCTGGCGGACTTCGCGGCGCTACTGCTGACGTGGACGCCAGGTTCGGAGGGTGGAGACACGAAGGGGGTGGCTCGGAAGCAGGTTCGGATGGAGGCTCGGGTGGTGGTGCTGGAAGGGAAGGGTTGAGGCGCCCTGGCGACGGGGTGGATAATGTCCAAGGGGGTCGAAATGGGGGGTTCAATAACGTGGGAGGAAATAACGGAGGAAATAACCCTAGAAATTTGACAGCTTCTGGAAGGCGCGTGTCGGAAAACGGACCGGATTTTTCGGGAGATGGAGGTCAGGGTCGTCGGGAGGAGAGTGAGGGAGTGAGGGAGAGGGGGAGAGAGAGGGGGTGGGAGCGAGAGAGAAAGAGGGAAAACCAAATGGAGCAGGAAAGAGCAAGTGAGGAGGAAGATGACGAGGAGAGGGAGAGGGATTGGCAGCGAGAGAGGGGTGGAGAGAGGTCAAGAGAGGTGGAAGGGCGGCGGCAGCAGCGGAGGGAAGCGGGAGGGGGAAGCCAGAGGGACGGAGGAGGGGGGATGAGCAGGGGAGGTGTGAGCGATAGCGTGGGGAACGGGAAGGGTTTGAGTATGGACGAAGGGGAGGGGAGGAATGGGAGCCTGAGGAGCGGTAATGCAAAGGAAAGGATGCAGGAGCAGCGGCAGCAGGAGGAGCAGCAAGAGGGTGGGGGGAAGAGAGCGAGGAAAGGGAAGGAGTCGTCACCTGAACCAGACGAGGATTCAGGTGGGTGTGTGTGTAGGGGGGGGGTGGGTGGGGGTACGCGCACGTGCGTGCCGGTATGCGTGCGGGTGGGGAGAAAAGGGCGAGGAAAGGGAAGGAGTCGTCACCTGAGCCAGACGAGGATTCAGGTGGGTGTGGGATGGATAACGGGTGGAGGTTCGGTTGAGTGTGTGTGCTATCGCTCTCTTTTGTGCACCGATTCGAATTCACGATGCACCATCCGCATCCATCCGCACCGTTCTGCTCCCTTCCGCACCCATCCGGATCTATCTACCTGACACGCTGCCATTTATTCTGACACGTGTCAATTCATATGCTTCCGTCCATGCATGATGCGTCCACATTACAGGCAATCAAGAGGGCAACAGCAGCGACGGGCAGCCACGCACTCTCAAGCGCCCCCGCCTCGTGTGGACTCCACAGGTACGTTTAGAAGTTGAGCAGGTAGAGTAGATATTCTCCCTCCCCCCCCCTCTTCCCCTCCCCCCTCCCCTCCTCAACTCACCTCTCGCTCACTCTGAAGGCCTCCCTGCCTCGTCTGGAACCCACAGTTAGCAAACCATCTCCTGTCCCGTCCTTCCTCCCTCCCTCCCTTTCTCCCTCCCTTCCTCCCTCCCTCCCTTTCTCCCTCCCTTCCTCCCTCCCTCCCTTTCTCCCTCCCTCCCTCCCTCCCTCCCTCCCTCCCTCCCTCCCTCCCTCCCTCCCTCCCTCCCTCCCTCCCTCCCTCCCTCCCTCCCTCCCTCCCTCCCTCCCTCCCTCCCTCCCTCCCTCCCTCCCTCCCTCCCTCCCTCCCTCCCTCCCTCCCTCCCTCCCTCCCTCCCTCCCTCCCTCCCTCGTGCCCTAATCCATCCCCTCCAAAGCTGCACAAGCGGTTTGTGGACGCGGTGTCGCATCTGGGCATTAAGAACGCCGTTCCTAACACACTCCCCCCTCTCCCCCCGCCCCCCCCCCCCCCCCCCCCCCCCCCCATGTGCGTTTGTTGCTCCCTCCCTGCTTCCGCAGCTGCACAAGCGGTTTGTGGACGCGGTGTCGCATCTGGGCATCAAGAACGCCGTGCCTAAAACCATCATGCAACTCATGAACGTGGAAGGGCTGACCAGGTGTGTGAGTTTGACTAGCGAGTAGGCAGGGGTGTGTGGACGGGGCTGCTGAGTGCGTGTGGACGCTGTGTCACATCTGGGCATCAATGCCGTACCTAAAACCATCATGCAACTTATGAATGTGGAGGGGCTGACTAGGTGGGTGAAGTGTGGTGTGGAATGTGGAGTGTGTGTGTATGAGTGTGGGTGTGGATGTGTGCGAGTGCAGGTGCGGGTGTGGGTGTGGGTGTTGGTGTGGGTGCGGGTGCGGGTGCGGGTGTGGGTGCGGGTGTGGGTAGAATTACATTTACTACCATACAATTTTCATAATGCAGTCAAGACTTGTAGTTTCACCTATCATAAATGTTCTTACTTACATAAACATTCTTCTTTCTTTCTTCGGATCCGTTTATTCCGCTTTGCAATAACCTCCCTAACCCGCGTCCCCACCCACACGTCCCTTCCCTCCCCTCACCCTCCCATACCCCTGGCTTCTACTCATGCAGGGAGAATGTGGCATCGCATTTGCAGAAGTATCGGCTCTATCTCAAGCGTATGCAGGTGAGATGGAGAGAGATGGAGTGAGATGAAGAGGGATGGAGAGAGATAGCGTGAGATGGGGAGGTAGGAAAGATATGGAGATGGAGAGAGATAGAGATGGAGGTGGATTGATAGCAAGCAAGGGAGATGGATGAAGAGGCCCCGGGGAAGGAATTGATAGAACGGAACCCCAGGGTTTCAGACATTCATAACTCAGTGTTTTCAGACATGTTCACTGCACCCCAAGCAAGTGCAGGCAAGATAAATTCTTTGCTCTTATCTCTCCCGTCCATTCTTCCTCACCACTCTCACTGTTTCCCCCTATCGCAGGGCCATTCTGGGGACGACCCATCAGGCGGAGACCCCCTGTTTTCCTCCACGCCCCTCCCCACCAGCTTCAGCAGTCCCCCCCAGCCCTTCTTCCCGCCATCCGCCCCGCCTCCCCCCGCCGCTCCTCCCCCTCTCAACCCCCTCGCGGCCGCCGCTGCCGCCGCCGCAGCAGCAGGAGGAAACCCTATGGGGAACCTCAGGGGAGCTCTATCCGCGTTAGGAGCAGCAGGGCTATCCTCTCTTCCCCCGTCGATTCATCCAGAGGATCCTCTCCTCTCCTCGCCTCACTTTTCCGCGGCTGCTGCTGCTGCTGCCGCCGCCGCTGCTGCTGCAGCAGCTGGAGGGGGTTCTAACCCCCTGCTATCTTCCCAGCTAGCTGCGTCGCTTTCGAATCCTCAGCAGCAGCAGCAACAACAGCAGCAGGCGGCAGCAGCACAGTACCTTGCTGCGGCTCATAACCCGGTGGGGAATCCGCTGGGTGCTGCTGCTGCAGCTGCGGCTGCAGCAGCAGACCCGATTCTGGGGCGAGCGCTGAGTGCGTATGCTGCAGCTGCTGCGTTTTACGACCTTCAGAATAGTCACGGGCAGAATAATCTCGGGCAGAATAGTCATGGTGGGGCGGGGTTGGGGGGAGGCGCTGGTGGGGGGATGCATGGGGGCGGAGGGCTTGGGGGAATGCACGCTGGGGGACTGGGGGGGGGACATGGGGGAACGTTAGGTGGGGGGCATGTGGGGGGGATGGGAGGAGGGTCAAACCAGCCCCCAGGAGCAGCAGCAGCAGCAGCGGCGGCGGCGGCGGCAGCAGCAGCAGCAGCAGCACCAGCAGCAACGGTCACCGTCCCTCCCTTTTGCCCCGTCCCAATTCAATTCCCTGCTCTCCGCAGCTTCAGGGGGAATGGGTAGCTTAGGGCCGGGGGGAACGGGACCAGGGGGGATGGCGGGTCTGGGGGCGGGGGGAGCAGGACCAGGGGGAATGGGGAGCCTGGGGGGTGGGGGAGCAGGGCAGGGGGGGATGGGGAATTTGGGGATGTCAGCAGGGGGGTTGGGGAATGCGAGTAGTGGGAGTAGATTTGGGCCTATGAGTCATGCCAGGGATATTTTTGGCCGGGATTTCTCGGGTGGTGGGTTAGGGGGGGCAATGGGAGGGGATATGGGAGGTGCGGCAGCAGCAATGGCAGCAGCTGCGGCGGCTGCTGCTGCTGCAGCGGCAGGTTCGGCAGGAGGAGGTGGGGGAGGAGGGGTGGCAGCAGGAAGGGCGCCGTCGCCTGCACGGCAGGTGCTGAGTCTCTTTCCAGAGCAGCAGTGAGGGAGGAGGAGGGGGAGGAGGGGGAGGATGAGGAGGAGTGGGAGGAGCGCCAGCAGGAAGGGGTGCTGAGCCTCTTTCCCGAGCAGCAGTGGGGGAGGAGGGATGGAGATCATGTCTTTTTCAGAGCAGAAGTGTGAAGGAAGAGTGTTATGCTGGAGGGTTTTTGCAGGGGCTGCAGTGAAGGGGAATTGTTGGAGGGCAGCAGGAGCAGCAATGAAAGCAGGAGCAGGAAGGGTTCAAGTGTTTGGATAGAAATATGCTATACTGCTGCGGCTGCAGCAGCAGGGGGGTAGAATTTAGTGTATGTGGAGGTTGGAAGTGTGAGGAGGAATATTCCCCTCACCATTTGCCACGTCTTTGCACATGTTGAAACGACGTGAAACTGCATGTTTGCTTCTGCCTTTTGGGGTTCACATGTTGGGCTGTTGCTTTGCCTTCTATGTAGTATACGTACCAAGGGCTAGACTGATTGTAAAGCTCATCTGTCTGATGCTAGGACCAAGCTTGGCTGAGAATAGAAGAGGTGAAGTACGAATTTAGGTATTGATTGAACAACCTATTTCATGCTGACAAAACTGTGATTCTGGGTTAACCGTGACTATGCTGCCAGCAACTACAAACAAGCAAAACAGCATTCAAATATCGGGGGAATATTCACATTCGAGGCATCCCCAAACAATTCAGACCAAACAAATATAGAACCTGCAAGTCAGAAAAGTTTCCATTAGAGACTAAGATATAACCAAACGGGAAAGAAAGAAAGAAAGAAATAAAAAAAAAGAACAAAATGACAGCAAGAAATAAGCTGGCCTCAGACATTGTCAGGTGTATTTGACATCACAGCATGCACTAGGCATGTCAGGATAGCGACGTTTGTTCTCATCACCGGCCAGCTTTAGAAGTCATCATGTAATCCTCGACAACAGATATAATGATTATATTAGCAGCACGGAACGACCAACACGTACCAAAATGGCTGCTTGACAGCTCACGAAGAGCGAAAACTGCACAGGCCGAGCAGAGAATCAGCGAGTTCTGCTTCCAAGATTTAAAATTCCAGGTTGGCCAGTACCACGAGACCTGGAACACAGATAAGCAAACATCGAAGGTCGTTAGTAGTAGAAACATAAGACGAGACTAGAGCAGTGAGGATCTGGCCGCTAGAAATGAACAATGTTGGTAGCCCATTCGAGATCTACTGCAAACTGGTATCATTGCGCAATCCCGGAGTAGGACTATCAGCTTAATAGCCTCCATTCCAAATCGTTCCATGCGACAAGATCGCACATGTCGTTCTGCTGAACGGAGGGTATGTCTAAAGCAATAAACGACGTTGGAAAGCAGTAGCGACGGCTAATTCATGCGGCTCAGATCAAGAGATTCAACCGTTTTGTCCAATCGTCACAGTTCCCTCGAAAGGGATCGGCAGCGCGGATAAGGTCACATCATAGCCGACACATCGGACATTTATCAAGGACGACGCGAACACTCAACGAAAAAAGGCACGATCAGGAACTCAGAGAGAAAGAGAGAAAACGTGGCTTGAATGCTCAGGGACAGAGGAAGGTTAAATAACATCAACGATGATCAGCAACCTTAAGTTTTGCATCACTGCACAGCAAGCCACAAGATCACCGGAAAAAATGCAGTTGAATTGAATAACAGACACAGCTGATGTACCAGATCGACACGGACTTGGAAAGGTAGTGGAATGTGCAAGAGAGCTCAGGGAATATAACCAGTGGACATCAAAAGAATTCAGAAGCAGAACTGGCGTTTAAACTGGTTTGAAAATCATCAATGCTCCCAGACATTGCGAAAATAGAAGGGAAATAAAGATGTTGGCGCAATCGGGACCTCAGTAAAAGCCGCTGTTTCTCTTCAGAAGTAGCAAGCTACTGATGTCAGACGGTAATTCCAATAGCGATCATCAGCGGGCCCGGTAAGCGATAAAAAACGAACTACTCTACCAAACAAGTCTGGAGAAAAAGGGGTAGAAACAGCGGTGAAGATCGGTAACCAGGGCAGGGAGTAATGTGGCTGCTCACAGTTGGTTTAATACCTCGCGACTGGAAAAAAAAAAACTCTTCCGCCATTGCGTTGCAAAAGCCAGTCAAGCAGGATTACATGACGTAGCGCATTGCACGCCCAGCAGCTGGGGACATCTTCGCGCAGATCTTCGCTTGAGACCAGGTACCGTAATCAGTCACATGAAGACAGGACAGAGGGGAGATGTCGCCGGAAACGACCCATCGCTTCAAGGCCTGGCGCAGAGACCGCAAAAATAGACCGAGCACTCCAAGAAAGTAACTTTGGAAGCAAGAGTAGCTTGCGGACAGATATACACTTATGCATGGGGAGGAGAAAATGAGAATGGAGGGGTTTTGGGTGCGGCTGCATTGGAGAGATTACTGTCATCCTCGTTACAGGCACTATGACCTCTAGATTCTGTTAGGGTGGGGCCAGCTCGTTCATTTTACACAATGGTACAGTTCATTCTGAGCGGTTATTCTCGTTTAGTCACGGTCTAAAACGGGTGAACAAGAAAACCGCTGTAAACCGATTGGAATCTTCCTGCACCACGTCAGATGAACTGTACAACCGTGAAAAACGAACGCGCTGGCCCCGCCCTTACGGCGTGTCGCAATTCGCGGTGCACTGCATCGGCTCGGCTCGTGGCACGGGTCTAGGAAGGCTCCAGGAAATCGAGTGGCCGTAAAATTTTACAGAAAACGTGCGAGGACTTTATTATCATTCTTCTAAAGACGTTATAACCTTGGCAAATAACAATTGTAATCATTCTTTGATATTTTTGTCAAACATAATAATTTAGGGACCTAGGGTTTGACCTAGGCAAGAGTGACGAGAGGAAACGTGCAAGCCAAAAGAGGGGTTCAAAAGCAGAGGGCATACAAGATATAGGCAAGGAATTAGGCAAGTGGTACACCACCTAGCAGGAAACTAAGATAACTATACTAGGCTATTGTAGGCGTTTACATGAATGTATACAAATACATTTCAACAATTTTTTCTTTGCCGAATCATTGCCCGAATTTGCCCCCCGCTTGCTTGGAGCCTTCCTTTCGTCCCGTGCCGAAGCAGTGCATCGCAAATTGCAACACCCCGTTATTACCATAGCGTTGCGAACATACCGTAATCCCCCGCATAGTACACCCTAGGGTGTACTGATAAATACCCCCCTTCAGGGGGGGTGTTTAATTATGGGGGGTGGTGTAAGCCTGCACCCATGGTGTTATGTGATGACACATTTTTAACTGATAAAACATTTGTTTTCTGTTTTGAACTCACACTCAAGGTATCGAATCGAACTGAAACGGACTTTGCACTGCGCGTGGTGTCTGGGCCAGGTCATGCGGACGCTAGCAGGCCTCTCGTGTCAGAATGCTATGTTTGTCTAGCCTGCAGTGGGATACTCTATAGTGAGTACAACCCAAACTAGGGTTTCCTATATGTATCCTACCTACTGCTAGTCAAACCCCTCTTTGCCTATTTCTCGTTTTCGCCTACTATCTTGACATGGTATCAGAGCAGGTCGACCCTCCTGGGTCGATCCTGTGGGTGGGCCCACCCGATGCTTCCGCTGCTGTTCTGCTTCTCGCGCGCCTCGGGCGCGTGACGTTTTCAGCCTGCCGCGTTTTTAGGGTTTCTACGATTTTCTGCTCGCCGCGCGCTCCGAAAGCTCGGCGGTTTTCTGCCCGCTGTGCGCCCCGAGGCGCGCGGCGGTTTCCCACCGTCGAAGCGCCCCCCGTCGCCCGTCGAAGCGCCCCCCCCCCCCCCCCCCCCCGTCGCCCGTCGAAGCGCCCCCGTCGCCCGTCGAAACGCCTCCGTCGCCCGTCGAAGCGCCCCTGGGCCCCGCGCGGGCCGCGCGCGGCCCGTACGACCTGCGCCAGGCCCGCGCGCGGCCCGTACGGGCTGCGCCAGGCCCGCGCGCGGCCCGGGCAGCCCGCGCGCGGTTTCGTTCGACCTGCGCACGCCGTCCCCCGAGCTGCTGACCGCGCCCCACCCCTGCTGCTGCCCGCGCTCCTGTTTTAGGGTTTGGGGGTGGCGAGTGTGGGGGTGATAGGTGTGTGCGCCGTCCCCTGCTCCTCCTCCTCCGGCTCCCACTGCTGCAGCTGCCGCTGAGGGGGGTGGGTGTGTTGGAGCCGTCGGAGTGGTACTAGGGGGGTGGCGTGTGAGCAGTGCTAGAGGTACAGCAGAGGGTGTGTGAAAGGGTTTTGGGACAGCTGGAGGAAGTTGAGTGGAGGCAATCGTCTTGTCGTCCGCAGCGCCTGAAGTCCAGAGAGCCACGACCCCCTGTGGCCTGAGTAGTCCGGGGCTCTGCGCCCGGTAGCCACAGTGTGAGCACTCCTGGTAGTCCAGAGAGCCACGACCCGCTGTGGCCTGAGTAGTCCGGGGCTCTGCGCCCGGTAGCCACAGTGTGAGCACTCCTGGGAGCACAGCGAGCCAGCTGCGCCTGTCGCCGTGTAGTCCGGGTTTAGCCTGGTAGCGTCAGTGCTGCGCACTCCTGGTGCCCGTGTGTCTGCAGCTTCAGCCGTCACCTCTCATCTTCTCGCCCCCACAGTTTTTCCTCCTCCTC